TGCACAGCCAAGAAGCAGCAAAGCCTGGGGCTGAAATCCAGAGCCTGCGAACCCCAGATTGCTCTTCCTTATTCATTGGTGACTGGCCCTGAGGTGAAAATCCAGGCAAGCCAGCCTTGGGGTTGGGGGGAGCCCCAGAAGCCAGGAGACCCGATTTTAGCTCCCCTATATCTTCTGGGCTCCCAAACCCAGGTTGTTTTTTATTGTGACTTCATCATAAAATACAGAAAAATATGTTCAACGTATTTTATACAGTAAACAAATAACTGTAAAGCTGTGATTCTCTGTAATCACAATAGAACATTGTCAGCTCCCAGAAACCTCCCTCCTCTGTTACTCCCAAATGTAACAACTCTCCTGACTTTTGGATATTTGCTTCCTTGATCTTCTGCACAGTTTTACAAGTGAGAAACAAATGGTGTCATGTTGCCTGTTCTGAACTTGCTGTCCATGGACTCATACTTGATGTGTCATTTGGCGTCTGGCTTCTTTCACTCCGTGTAAAGTTGTTATGCTTCATCCCTGTTGTAGGTATCAGTAGTTTGGTCCCTGTGTGGTGTTGTGCTCTATGAATTTACCTTAGTTTGTTTATCCATTCTCCTGTGGGTGGATACCTGGTCTGTTTCTAGTTTTGAGGTTACTGTGAATGTTGCTGCTCTGAACATTCTAGTACATGTCATTTGGTAAACAAAGGCACTCGTTTCTGTTAGAGGGCTGTGGAATTGCTGGTTCATGGGGTAGTTTTTTGTTTGTTTGTTTGTTTGTGTTTTTTTTGCTGTACGCAGGCCTCTCACTGTTGTGGCCTCTCCCGTTGCAGAGCACAGGCTCCGGACGCGCAGGCTCAACAGCCATGGCTCATGGGCCCAGCTGCTCCGCGGCATGTGGGATCTTCCCGGACCGGGTCACGAACCCGTGTCCCCTGCATCGGCAGGCAGACTGTCAACCACTGCGCCACCAGGGAAGCCCCCATGGGGTAGTTTTTAATTGAGTTTTAATTGTTATTGCCAAACAATTTTCCATAGTGGTTGAACCATTTTATACTCCCAGCAGTACCGATTCCTTTACATTTTTGACAGCGCTTGGAGTTGTCAGTTTTTAAAATTTTAGCCATCCTGGTGGGTGGTTTCCATTTGTGTTTCCCCATAACTAATGAAGTTGTGTGTGTTCCTTCATTGTATGAGTGTCCTCTCCTTTGAGGTGCCCTTGCTCTTTTCACCTTGCCTCCCAGGTGGCTCACCTCTAACTGACAGCTGTAGCTCCTGCCCAGACCCTCAGCGATTGAAGCCCAAACCCCCTACGGAGCAGTGGGTCGGGTGGGGCCATGCAGACACTCCCCTGCTGTGCTGATGCCTGGCTTCCAGAGGCAGGTCTGGGTGTCCTCCATCAGGAGCTCCCCAGGGAGCAGGCCATCTTCTTGGCTGCAGTGATGGTGTTTCGTCACTGCAGGACTGCGTCACAGATACCTCAGCTGACGCGCCACTCTTAGTGGGAGGATGGGCAGGATCCAGGCAGGATGCGGGGGATCTTTCAGTTCCTCCCCAACCCTCGCCCGAGCTGCTGCTTGCTGGCTTTTTACTCGCTGAAGCGAGAATGTAAAAAGTGGCTCTGGTGTGCCTAGCAGCAGCCAGGGCCTCCACCACTCCTCAGCTGGGAGACCCAAAGTAAACAGTTCCCCTCTCTCAGCCTCTGCCCTGCCCTGGGCATGATCATGGCCCTCTGGTGGTGTGGTTGGGAGTGAGCAGGAGAGGCTCTGGAGGAGCGCCCTCATGCCCAAGGCCACCCAGCTGGCATTGGCTCCTGGACTCTGCAACCCTGACCACTCTCGGCCACACCGGCTGCCTTCACCTCTCTCTCATCTTGGCAGCCACATGCTTGGGTGTTCACTGGGGGCCAGGCAGTGGGCCAAGCCTCTGCACACAGTGGGTGCTTTCATGCTGCTGACAGCCCTGGTGCTGCTGAGTCACGGAGGCTCCGAGAGGTGAAGTTGCTGGGCTGGGGAGGGTGGGGAGGGGAGGGGAGGGGAGGGGAGAGCTGAGATTGGGCACAAGGCCCCTGTCCTTTACTTCCACATCCACCCTTCCTTTGGACTCTGGGTTCTCCATCCGAGCCCTATTTGGGAACCCAGCCCTATTCTGAGCTGAGCTCGTACCAGGGGAAGGTGCAGTGTTGGCCCCCGTGTTGGAGAGGAATTCCCTAATTCCCTAACTCCCCACCATGCCTACCTCCAGGCCCCAAGTGTGCTCCCTGCTCCGGCTCCTTACCCTGTGCCGGCCACATTCCCCAAGCTCCTTCCCAAGCTTCCTCAGGGACTTTGCACTTGCTCTTCCCCTGCCTGAAATTTGCTCCCTACACGTTGGCTCACCTGTCCCTCATGCAGCGTGGCTAACACAGCACCCATTCCCTGCCCTCCTTTCCCCTTTTCACTTTTCTTTGCTGCCACCTGACGTTGTGACCTGTGTACTGTCTGCCTCCCCCACTGGAATGTGAGCTTCCTGAAGGCAAGGGCTGTGTCTTAGTGACTCTCTGTCTCTGGAACCCAGGACAGAGTCTGGAGCTTAGGACATGCTCAGAAAAAGATTGGTGGCGTGAATAGATTCTGGAATTGTTTCTGAGGCTGTGTCCGGTCCTGGGCTGGGGATCTTTTGGGGAGACTTGGGTTCGTTCATTGTGCATTCAGCAGAGAGCCAGACACCGGGCTGGTGTGCTGAATTAGTGTTTAGAGGTGTGGGGAGAGTTGACCAGGAGGTGCATGCAGAGGACCCAGTCCAGCCCCTGAGGTCAGGAAGGCTTCCTGGAGGAGACATTGGTTCAGCTGAGACCTTAAGGAAGAAGGGGAACTCACAGAAGGTGTTGGGGATGGAGGCCAGAGGGAAGGACCTGAGTGCCAGAGGCCTGGCAGAGAGTGAGGGTCGGGGAGGAGGGGCTGGGGAGGTGGGTAGTGGCTGGCGTGGTAATCATTGTCACAGTCATCAGCCTTCTTGAGAGCTTTCTAGGTGCCTTTCTGCTTATGCCAGGCCTTCTTGTGGTGGAAAGGACCTTGTTCTGTGTTCTACGCACACTGGGGAGCCATGGAAGGGTTTTGAACAGAGAGGGACAGGGTCAGATTTAGGATGGAGTACAGGGGTTGAGAGCCCAGGCTGGGAACCCAGGGAGAAAGCCAGGGTGGGAGGGGAGGCGGGGCAGGAGAGGATCAGGAAGCCCGTGGATGGGCAGAGAGGACGGGCAGAGAGGACAACGGGCGGAGCAGGGCTGGGAAGCAGCAGAGGCCAGGGCCTGAGGGGCCTGGAATCCTGAGCTGAGGAGCCTGGCTCTTTCCCGAGGCCCGGGGGAAGCCATGGGTCAGATTTGAGGGTCCCTCTAGGTGCTGAGGGAGACAGATGGGAGGCTGGGAGGCTGGGGAAGAGGTGAGGTGAGTCCTCGTGGGAGAGGACAGCGCTGGACCTGAGCCGCATTGTAGGGAGGCTGGGGTGGAAACCCTGGTCCCATTAAGACTGAAGCACAGATTGGTGGATGTTTGGGAGCGAAGATCTGGTGGTCCTGGGTGTGTTCAGTCTGTGGGTGTGAGCCTGGAGGTGCCAGCCGTACCTGCTGGGGGACGGAGCCCCTGCTGGACCCTGTCTTTGCAGCTCAGAGTCCAGAACGTGATTTCTCCCCCGCTGTTTACTTCCCTGTCACTGTCCATCTTGTCTTCCTCCGGCTTCCTCCCACTTACCTCCCTTCCCTCTGCCTGGGGCCCGGGCAGCCTGCCACCGTCACATGCCAGGCAGTAGTGTGTCCAACCCACCAGCTCCCCTGGGGCACGAGAGAAAGCTGATGCCCACGGTGTCCCCAGAGCCAGCTGCCACTTCTCTGGGGGCCACCGTAGCTCCTGACCTGCTGTCCGCAAATAACCCCAGGCCAGGAAAGGCGAAAGGCGCCTTGAGCTCCATGGCCCTTGTCCAGGCCTGTGGCTCCAGGTAGGGGCCCAGCTGGTGGCTGCCTTCCCCCCTTTCTCCCCTCTGCCCCGGGAACCTGAGACGAAGCAGCAGCCTCGGCGTCTGTCAGTCTGTTGGCTGCTGGTCCCTGAGGACGGAAGCAGAGGTCTCTGGGAGGGGACCAGGGCCTCGGTTAAGCCCCCAGGACTGGCTCCTGGGCCCCAGATAAGTGTACACGCAATAGGTTCCTTTCTTGTTGAAGATCCGGAGCACTGAGACCTTCCTTTCCTCTGTCATCTGGTGGGGACAAGGGGACAAGGAGGGAACTGAGGCTGAGGGAGTGATATGAGGTGGCCTGGTGCCAGGGTTGGGGGGGTACTCGGTTTGCTAAAGGTGGCAGGTTGGTGGCTCCTTGGTTTGGAAAGGAGTGAGTGAGTGAGAGAGAGCGAGCGAGAGAGGGAGTGTGTGCGTGTGCGTGTGCGTGTGTGTGTGTGTGTGTGTGTGTGTGTGTGTGTGTGTGTGTGTGTGGGGGGCTGGCAGGCAGATACTGGTGGCTTTGAGCACTCCCTCAGGTGCCCAGGGCTGTCTGATTCAGCCCAGGTGACCTCAGCGCTGGGGCATGGGAGTGACGCAGGGGGCGGAGCTGCAGCTCCTCGCCTGCCTCCCGCCCCACCCCGCCCCTCCAGGAGTGACGGTGGGTGGAGGGGCCGCCTCTGCTCAGCACGGGTGTCCTGAGTGTCCAGGCACAGGCCAGGGAGCTGTGCTCCTTCCAGAGTGGGCTTTGAGGGCAAGCTCGTGTCCTTTCCTCCCAAAGACTGGGCTCCCTGGGGACATGGCCACCTCTTCCCCCTCAGCCTGGGCCCCAGGGCAGGTCTCGCCCCACCCGCCCTGGCTCCACCCTGTCAGAGCAGCCCGAGGGGCCTCAGAGGAGGGCTGTCCCGAGGGAAGGCGCTGAGGCCCAATCCCCCTCCCACTCTGACAGGCTCCTCTCTTGTCTTGCAGACTGTGCTCTGTCCACCGCTCCTCCTGCATGTCCTGCTGCCCTGAGCTGTCCCGAGCTAGGTGACAGCCTGTCACGCTGCCACCATGAACGAGGTGTCTGTCATCAAAGAAGGCTGGCTCCACAAGCGCGGTAAGGGGCTGCTTTTGCCCTCAGGATTGCGTGTCTCCCCTTTCCGCCCTGGCTCTTCTGGCAGCTGTGCCCTGAGAGGCAGAGGTACAGGGTCTTTACCACCTGAGGAGCCAGCATTCCAAGCCTTGTCTGCCTCCCTCCCTGCCCCTGGCCAGTAGCTCCTTACCAGCCCATTTCATGGGATCTTTGAAAGTAGTCTGGACAGAAGGACTGTGGCTGTGCCTGGACCTGAGTCTCCAGGCCTAGCTGGACCTCCTGCATGAGCCTCCAGGCCACGCCTCAAGTTCTGCCTCTGCATTAGTGATCCTGTTTGTAGCCCCATTTTATAAATGAAGAAACTGAGGCTCAGAGAGGGTCAGTCACTTAACTGAAGGAACACAGTGAGATGATATTCAGCATTTATTCATTCAGCAACTACTCATGGAGTGTGTGGTATGCCGGGCTGGCCACCCCAGGCTCCGAGGACACTGTGGTGCCCTCATGGAGTTTGCGATCCATTGGGGGTTGGGGACAAACAATAAACAGATAAACAGACATAAGGTCAGGTGGTAAGTGCCGTTGTGAAAAATAGGAGCTATGAGGGAGAACGGGCTGGAGAAAGATGGGGTTCAGTGGAAGCGGCCTGAGGAGAGGACAGTGAACAGAGGCCTGGAGGAGGTGAGGGAGCGAGCCACACGGATAGACAGGCAAGGGTGTTGCAGGGAATGAGACAGCAAGGACAAAGGTGGGACTGTGTCTGGACCGGAGAGTTGACCAGTGTGGCTGGCGCAGAGCGAGCGAGGGCGAGCTGGAGGAGGTGGGCAGAGCGGTGATGCAGCATCAGACCTTCGGCCCTCAACTCCATGGAAAGGGCTTTAACTCTCCAGGCGTTCAGAAGTCCAGGATGTTGTGAGCCGGCGCATGACCCGGTCTGCTTGTGCTGGTGGGCAGCTGAGAAATGCAGTCATTTACAGGGAAGAGACTGAGAGACTAGACCCTTAGGCCCCAGGCCCCTGCCCCAGAACCAGCACACTTAACGCCCACGCTGCTGTGTACAGGGGCAGCTAGGAAGAGGCACGTGCTGAGAGTCAGCTTGTCCAGGCGCCCAGGAGCGAAGGAGGCAGACTGCCCTGGCTTCCGCAGACCCTCCCCTGCGGAGGGGGACGCCAGGCCTGAGGGTAGCCACTCTGTGCGCTTTCATTCACTCAGCAGACATCTGTTGAGCAGCTCCCGTGTTCCAGGCACTGTTCTAGGTGCTGGAGACACAGCAGTGAACCAGATGAGCCAAAAGTCCCCATCCTTTTGTTGTTGTCTTACATTGATGGGGAGAGCCCATGGCACCTGAGTAGACAGGTGTGAGCAGGAGGAGGGGTGTGAGGGGGGCTGTCCCAAACGGGGTGGTCAGTGAGGGCCTCACTGAGAGGGGGGTTTGAATAAAGATCTGCAGGGACGTGGGGGAGTGAGCCCCACAGTTAACTGGGGCAAGGGCGAAGGGGACAGCCCATGAGTCCACAGAGGGGAGTGGGCCAGGCATGTTTAAAGGGGGCGAGGAGGCTGGTGGGGCTTGCCCTGCAGAAACTGGGAGAGGTGCCCGCCCATCCTGCCCTGTTCCAGCCCGCAGACATGGAGCAGTGATGAGGGACGGAGGTGGCTCCCCAGGCCAGGCCTCCCCATCACACTGAGCAGGGGAGAATCCTTTCCTGCTGCCCTTTCCAGGCAGGGTGGTACTCAAGACACCTTGGCTTACCCGCCCAGATTGGGCCCTGAGTTAGGGGCTGTTGATGGAGCTTTCTGAACCTTGGCAGGTGTCAACCCTGGCTCTGCCACTTCCTCTCAGTGTGACTGGGTAAGCTATGTCATCTCTCTGAACCTTGGTTTCACATCTGTAAAATGGGTCAACAACCCAGGCCTCTGAGATTGTCAGCTTCATGAGGGCAGGGATTTTATCTGGCTTGTTCACTGAGATGTCCCCAGTGCCCTAGAAAAGTGCTTGGCATGCAGTAGGCACTCGGTAACTGTTGAATGAACGTTTGGGATTGTGTGTGTGGATAGTGCGAGTGTGTTAGGGTGTGCCAGGGTCTCAGGCTCCTGAGTTTCCGTGGCCCGTGGCTCGCTAGGCTGGGTTGGCAGAGCCCTGAAGGTGGCCCGAGAACTGTGGCCGGGGCAGGGCTTTGTCTCTGGCATTAATGCTGATGGCATTAAGTGGATCTCAGCCCCTCCTAGACCTTCAGTGTCTCCACTTACCTGCATGGACCCAGACAAGCTGCTGAGATGACCACCGGCCTTGGGTTTGTACCATAGCTACACACATGCGTGCGTGTCACTCCTGGGTCTCTCCAGTGCCTGTCATTCTGAGCAGCAGCTGGCAGAGGTGGGTAAGGCAAAGTGGGCTCTGCAGCTGTTTGGACACCCCCGCTACCCCACCCCACCCCACCCCACCCCTGGTGGTTGAAATAACAGCAGCTCTGGCTTACTGTGTGCCCACTCTGCCAGGCCTGGGGCTCTGCACTAGGCAGACCCAGTTTTGTTGCATTTCCATTACTGCCCCATCAGGTGGGCACCGTCTCGCAGCTGAAGCTCGGCAGGAAGACTGACTTGCCTGAGGTCTCAGCAAGGAGGTGGTGGTGCTGAGGTTCAGGCTCCAACTCCTGGCTCACATGCTGCCTCTTGCTCAGCAAGGTCCACTCAAGGCATGGGTCCCTTATGCCATGTGCGGGTGTCCTTTCTGACACAGCCTCAGCATACTCTCTCCCAGGCCCCACCAGGCCAGGCCCCATTTGCCAGTTTAGAGGCAGACAGCGTAGTGGTCAAGAACATGGACTCTGGACAGAGCAAACCTGGGTTCCAATCCCAGCTCTCCCGGTCAACAACTGTGAGCCTCAGGCAGGTAATGAAACCTCTTTGTGCCTCAGTTTCCTCATTTGTAAAATAGGATTGTTGTGAGGATATTTTTCCTTCTAGGTTTCTTTTTTTTCTTAGCTTGTTATTGATATATAAAGCACCACAGGTAAGTGCCTGGATTATAAGCTTACCCCCAAACCTGTGTCCAGGGCAAGAAATAGAGTCAGTCAGTCCCCAGAAGCCCCTGTGCCTCTCCCAAGCAGTAACCACTCTCCCAACCTCCAATAGAGTAGATGAATTTTTCTAGTTTTGTTTTTCTTTCTAAAATTGAGGTAAAATTTACATAACACTGAATTAACTGTTTTAAAGTGCACAATTCAGTGGCCTTTAGTACATTCACAGTGTTGTGTAACCACCACCTCTGTCTAGTTCCCAAACATTTTCATCTGCCTGAAAGAAAGCCCTGTACTTGTTAAGGAGTCAGTTCTCATTCCCCCTCCTCCCAGCCCCTGGCAGCCACCAATTTGTTTTCCGTTTTTATGGATTTACTTATTTTGGACATTTCATATAAATGAATCATACAATATGTGGCCACAAAAGTCTGGTTTCTTTCACTTAGCATAACTTTTTTAAAAAATAAATTTATTTATTTTTTTATTTTTGGCCGTATTGGGTCTTCGCTGCTGCTCACGGGCTTTCTCGATTTGCGGCTAGCGGGGGCTACTCTTCGTTGCGGTGCGCGGGCTTCTCATTGCGGTGGCTTCTCTTGTTGTGGAGCACGGGCTCTAGGCGCGCGGGCTTCAGTAGTTGCGGCACGCGAGCTCAGTAGTTGTGGCTCACGGGCTCTAGAGCACAGGCTCAGTAGTTGTGGCGCACAGGCTTAGTTGCTCCGTGGCATGTGGGATCTTCCCAGGCCAGGGCTCGAAGCCGTGTCCCCTGCATTGGCAGGCAGATTCTCAAACACTGAGCCACCAGGGAAGCCCCCAGCATAATGTTTTTGAGGTTCATCCATGCTGTAGCATGTATCAGTACTTCATTCCTTTTTTTTTTTTCCTTTTTAAATTTATTTATTTATTTTTGGCTGTGTTGGGTCTTTGTTGTTGCTCGCGGGCTTTCTCTAGTTGCGGTGAGCGGGGGCTACTCTTTGTTGCAGTGCGCGGGATTCTCATTGCGGTGGCTTCTCTTGTTGGGGAGCACGGGCTCTAGGCGTGCGGGCTTCAGTAGTTGTGGCGTGAGGTCTCGGTAGTTGTGGCTCGCAGGCTCTAGAGTGCAGGCTCAGTAGTCGTGGCACATGGGCATAGTTGCTCCATGGCATGTGGGATCTTCCTAGACCAGGGCTCAAACCCATGTCCCCTGCATTGGCAGGCAGATTCTTAACCACTGCGCCACCAGGGAAGCCCCTTCATTCCCTTTTATAGCCAAACAATATTCCATTGTATGAATATACCATATTTTCTTTATCCATATGTCTGTTGATGGACATCTAAGGTATTTCTGCCTTTTGGCTGTTGTGAATAGTGCTGCTATGAACATTTGTATACAAGGATTTGAATACTTGTTTTCAATTTGGGCGGGGTATACATCTAGGAGTGGAATTGCTGGGATGTATATATCTATTAGATTATATTATTTATAATCTATTATATATAGTTAGATAATGTGGGTAAGAAATATATAAAATCTGGGTCATACATTCTGTATGTGTAATCTACAATGTATTCTATATTTAACTTTTTGAGGAAGCGCCAAGCTTCCACAGGGTTGCACCATTTTACAGTCCCATCAGCAGTGCACAGGGTTTCCATTTCTCCACATCCTCACCCACACCTGTTCTTTTTCTTTTAGTTTTTTTGTTTTTGTTTTTGTTTTTAATAAAAGCCACCCTGGTGGGTATTAAGTGGTATCTCGTTTTGATTTGCATTTCCCTAATGACTGATGATGTTGAGCATCTTTTTATATGCTTCTTGGCCATTTGTATATCTTTGGTGAGATGTCTGTTTAGGTCCTTCACCCTTTTTTTTCTTTTAAGATTTGGGTAAATTATTTTTATTTTTATGCCTATTCATATCTTGTTGTATTGATTATGTTATGTATGTATTTTAAGATTTTAACTCTTCAAAAGTGTCAATAATGATTTTTGGCATATAGTTCATAGTTTTATATAATCAAGTCTATCAAGTTTTTTCGCTCTTTAATTTTTTTTTTTTACATCTTTATTGGAGTATAACCGTTTTACAGTGTTGTGTTAGTTTCTGCTGTAAAACAAAGTGAATCAGCTATATGTATACATGTATCCCCATATCCCCTCCCTCTTGCGCCTCCCTCCCACCCTCCCTATCCCACCCCTCTAGGTGGACACAAAGCACTGAGCTGATCTCCCTGTGCTATGCAGCTGCTTCCTACTAGCTATCTGTTTTACATTTCGTAGTGTACATATGTCAGTGCTACTCTCTCACTTCATCCCAGCTTACCCTTCCCCCCCCTTCACCCAGTTTTTAATCAGACTGTGTTTTTGTTGATTAGTTGTAAGAGTTCTTTATATATTCTGGATACTAGACTCTTATCAGGTATACGATTTGCAAATATTTTCACCCATTCTGTTTGGTTGTCTTTTTATTTTCTTGATAACATCCTTTGCACAAAAGTTTTTTATTTCAGTGAGTCCACTTGATCTATTTTTTCCTTTGTTGTCATATCTAAGAATCTGTTGCCAAGTCCAGTGTCACGAAGATTTACCCCAGTGTATTTTTTTTTTTTTTTTTTTTTTTTTTTTTTTTTTTTTTCAGTACGCGGGCCTCTCACTGTTGTGGCCTCTCCCGTTGTGGAGCACAGGCTCCGGACGCGCAGGCTCAGCGGCCATGGCTCACGGGCCCAGCCACTCCGCGGCACATGGGATCTTCCCAGACCGGGGCACGAACCCGTGTCCCCTGCATCGGCAGGCGGACTCCCAACCACTGCGCCACCAGGGAAGCCCTACCCCAGTGTATTTTTCTAAGAGTTTTATAGTTTTAGCTCTTATATTTAGGTAGATCGACTTTGAGTTAATTTTTTTATATGGCATATGGTATAGGGTTCCAACTCTGTTCTTTTGCATGTGGGTATCCAGTTGTCCCAGCATCATTTGTTGAAGAGACTGGTCTTCCCCCCTGAAATGGTCTTGGTATTGTTGTTGAAAATCTGTTGCCCATAAGTATGTAGGTTTATTTTTTGACTCTCAGTTCTACTCCATTGGTCTATATGTTTATCTTTATACCACACTGATTTGATTATTGTAGCTTTGTAGTAAGTTTTGAAATCAGGAAGTATGAGTCCTTTTACTTTGTTCTTCTTTTTTTGTGTGTGATACGCGGGCCTCTCACTGTTGTGGCCTTTCCCGTTGCGGAGCACAGGCTCCGGACGCACAGGCTTAGTGGCCATGGCTCACGGGCCCAGCCGCTCCGCGGCACGTGGGATCCTCCCGGACTGGGGAACGAACCCACGTCCCCCACATTGGCAGGCGGACTCCCAACCACTGCACCGCCAGGGAAGCCCTGTTCTTTTTCAATATTGCTTTGGCTGTTTGGAACCCCTTGCCACATGAATTTGAATTCCATGTAAATTTGAGGGTTGACTCTTCCTCAACAGCAAAAAAGGCTATTGGAATTTTGACAGGGAATGTGTTGAATCTGTAGATGGCTTTAGATAGTATTGTAATCTTAATATCAGGTCTTTCAATCCATGAACACAGGATCTTTGAATTTATTTAGGTCTTTAATTTCTTTCAGCGGTGTTTGTAGTTTTTAGTGTATAAATCTTTGCCTCCTTGTGCTGTTGTAAATGGAATTGTTTTCTTAATTTCCTTTTTGGATTATTCATTGCTGGTGTATAGAAACAATTTGTTTCTGTGTGTTGCTTTGGCTGAATTTGTTAGCTCTAGTAGTTGTTTTGTGGATTATTTGTGATTTTCTGTATATAAGATCATGTTATCTGCAAATGAGATACTTTTACTTATTCCTTTTCAAGTTGGATACTTTTTATCTTTTTCTTTTTCTCTGGTTAGAACTTCCATTACAGTGTTTCATAGCAGTGGTGAAAGTGGACATCTTTGTCTTGTTCCTGATCTTAGGGGAAAGTTTTCATCCTTTCATCATTGAGTATGTTGTTAACTTGTGGGTTTTTCACAGATGTCCTTTATCCTGTGGAAGAAATTCCCTTCTCTTCCTAGCTTACTGAGTATTTTTATCATGAAAGAGCGTTGGATTTTGTCAGATGCCTTTTCTGTGTCAATCTGGATGACCTTGTGTTTTTCACCCTTCATGATATATACTGCATTGATTGGTTTTCATGTATTTGAACTGCCCTGGCAGTCCTGGGATAATACCCATTTGGTCATGGTATATAGTCCTTTTATTGTGCTGTTGAATTTGGGGTTTTGCTAGTTTCTGAACCGTACATACATGGAATCATTTAGTATCTACATTTGAAAGGATTTAACAAGTTAAAACCTATAAGATACTTAGGACAGTGCTTGGCAGGCACAAAGTACTGCTGTATAGTACTGTCTGATCATCATCATTAATTAATGGATATCCTCATAAGAGGAAACAAAGACATAGAGAAGTGAGGTGACTTATTGGAGCCCACCCTGCCATCCTGCCTCTCCATGTGCTATGTGAGTGAAGGGCCTGGCACACTCTTTGCTTGCCCAGTGGACTGATGATAAAGAGTATTTATTGATTTATTGGTGTGCTGGGCCCTAGCTAGGCTGGGTGTTTTATGTTTGCTTTATATTTGAAATCTCATTTTTTTTTTAGCAACTTGAGATATAATATAATTCACATACCATACAATTCAGCCATTTAAAGTGTACAGTTCAGTGGCTTTTAGGGTATTTAGAGTTGTGCATCCATCACCACAGTCGATTTCAGAACATTCTCACTACCCTAAAAAGGACTCCCCCTTGGCCATCACCCTCCAATCTCCCCCCAGACTCGCCCCCTCCTCAGCCATAGGCAACCACTGATCAACTTTTCATCTCTGTAAGTTTCCCTATTCTGGACATTTTATGTAAATGAAATCATATAATTTGTGATCCTTCGTTGCAGGCTTCTTTCACTTAGCATAAGGTATGATTCATCAACCTTGTAGCGTGTATTAATACTTCATTTCCCTTTTTTTTTTTTTCTTTTGCCCGCATTGCACGACATGAGGGATCTTAGTTCCCCAATCAGGGATCGAACCCGTGCTCCCTGCACTGGAAGTATGGAGTCCTAACCACTGGACCACCAGGGAATTCCCAATATTTCATTTCTTTTTATGACTAATATTAATATTCCATCATACGGATATGTCATGTTTTGTTTATCCATTCATTAGTTGATGAACTTTTGAGTTTCCACTCTTTGTTTTTTTAAGATTTATTCTTTCTTTCTTTATTTATTTAATTTATTATTTTTGGCTGCGTCGGGTCTTAGCTGCAACTGCAGCACACCGGATCTTTGTTGAGGCATGTGGGATCTTTTTTGTTGCAGCACATGGGCTCTTGCGATGCGGTGCTGGGCTTCTCTCTAGTTGTGGCGTGCGGGTTTTCTCTTCTCTAGTTGTGGTGCACGGGCTCCAGGGCGCGTGAGCTCTGTAGTTTGCGACACGCAGGCTCTCTAGTTGAGACGCTCGAGCTCAGTAGTTGTGGCATGTGGGCTTAGTTGCCCCGTGGCATGTGGGATCTTAGTTCCCCAACCAGGGATTGAGCCTGCGTCCCCTGCATTATAAGGTGGATTCTTTACCACTGGACCACCAGGGAAGTCCCTCCACCCTTTACTATAATGAATAATGTTGCTGTGGACATTTATGTTTTTTGTGTGGATATATGTTTCACCGTCTTATTTTAGTCCTTAGCAGCCCTCTGAGGAGTGGGTCCTTATAGTGTGCACCTGTGTGTATGTGTGTACAGGGTGCCTCGATATTCATGGTTAGAAAAAATGGAAGGGGTCAAGGAGCATTTGGAGGGCACAGCAACAGTTATACCCCGCCTGGCACAGTGTTTTGACATTTGATCCACCTGCACAGCTGTACTGGTGCATACCCGCCCGTGGGATTTGGCCTTACAGGGCCACAGGGCATGTGTGTTTGGAAGCCTGGGCCTCCCCTGGGACTGGGCCACGCGCTGGCAAGGATGGCTCACTGCTGGACACACGCTGAGGCAGCTGGTGCCCTGAGGCACTGCGGCAGGCGCCTTCCTGCCAGGCATGACCTCTGGATCACTGGGCCCAGCCCAGTGCCCAGCCTGCATTAGCAGGGGCCACCTCGAGGGTTTCTCCAGGAGAAGCACCCTCCTGCCGACCCTCTTGTCCATCCTCCTCCCAAAGTGGTGCCCCTTGTGAGGCACTGCCACACTGGGCTGGCTGCCCTGACCTCTCTCCCTCCCACTCTGCCTTCGTACAGGTGAATACATCAAGACCTGGCGGCCCCGGTACTTCCTGC